GGAGCCTTGGAAATTATTTCTACCACTGTTATACAGAAAGATCAGGTAACATAGTTGTCCCTAGATGTCAGTGTGCCCATCTGTGAAACAGGGAGCTCTCTGTAACTTGTTTTTGTGACTGGCATATAAGTAAGTGAAATCCTCCTGGGTGCTGTTGCTAAAAATCAGTATTGTGCTGTCTGTTGATAAGCTGAGACCTACTTAAATGGCTTCAAATGGTAAAGTAATTGGTGCATGCTTTTTTCTTTTCCTTCCTTCCTTATTCTTTGCATTAGCTTACTTATAGTGGAAGCCACTTCTTTAGTAGGCACATACCTCTTCTCTTACCACTAATCAGACTGGTTTTTGCTAGGGCAGTTCTCCATGAACTTTCAGTCCAGGGTCACTGTTGCACTGAAGAGACTAAAATATCTGGGCTTGATGAGCCTCTCTTTTTTAAGGATATTACACATGCACACAGATGGCAAGGGAAGAATGACAGGGAAGCCAAGACTGAGCAAGTTTCAGCAGAGGAAAGAGCTTCACAAGTGCAAAAGGAAAGCCCCTAACCCCACTGCTTGTTATTCTTGCTACAAGATTCCCTAGAGACAGGCTGGCCCACTGGAAGGTAAAACTCCCTATTTAGGAGATTCAGAGATGAGGAGAAGGGAGAAGGTCTGAGAAATGGTGGTATGAGACAGGGTAAAGTATGTTAGGGGATATACATAGAAGGAAAGCAGAACTGGTATTTCTCAGCTTCACTGCTTTGATCTTTTCCTCTCTTGACCCTTTTTCATTAAAACTGCGACCCTTTAGGACAAGTAGCTTTTTCTCTTACTTTCCTGTTAAATAATTATTGTGATTGCTTGGCTGTTTTGTCTGCTTCTTCACTGTGCTCACCTCATGAAGTGTGCAGAGCTCTTGTAAAAATCACCACAGATTAGGAATAGGCACTATTCACTCTGGGACTGCCTGGTTCAACCTCTGCACTGGCCTATATGGAGGATTTTCCCCACTCAAGATGCAGGTGTTCTCCAGTAGCCTGTGGAGCAGAGTGGAGTCATAGGAGAAAGGCAAGCAAAGGAGAAAAGTCCTTTAACCTGAGCTATGAAACAGCCTGTGCTCATGATATCCCTGTCCTGGGTTGTCTTAGAGCAATCCTTCTCCAACCCCTTTCCAATCTAGCCAGAAAACAGTAGGCATCTCCAATCATTGCTTTGGCTATTATCCTGATAGATTAATCTGACAGTCCCTAGCTTTCCCACTGGGACCTCAGGGGCTATCCCTGGAGCTGTTGTCATGCACAAAGGATGACAGAGCAGCTTCTTTTGCTCCCGGGGGGGGTCAGTTGTCCCTGGATCCTGTCCTCACCAGGTGGCACCCAGCAGTGTAGGTGGCAAGAGCTCTCAGGACTGCTCCATGATGGTTTCCAACTTAGAAAGGCACCCTGGGCTGCATGGGAATCTTGTGATGGTTCCCAGTGCACCTGGGTGCAGGGAACTGAAAACCCCACGTGCTGTGCCAACTGTGATATCAGCCTGGTGACATCATCCCTTTTCTGGTGATAGTGAGTGTGGACCCTGAGCTTTGGACAGCGTCAGTCAGTCCTGCATGCTGGTCTTTTGTTTTGGGAAGGAAATATTTCCTATCATATCGCTTCTCAATCAGCTGTTCATAGTTATAGTTTGTTAAAGTCCTTAAATAACTGCTTAACTTTACTTATTTGCTGTCAGGTTTTCAGTTTTATTTCTTAAGTATATGAGAACCTTGTGTTTCTTTTGTCACTCCCCTGAGGTCTGTCTGTCAGCTGCCTCCCCTAACAACTTTACTGGCTATTGGCCCTTTTGAACCAAAATTTCCAGAGTCAGTGATCTCATATGTAATAAAGCTATTGCAAGTTTTGTGAAGAGCAGGGACTTGGAAGGGAAGAGGCTGAAGTGCCCTGAAAGAAGGAAATGTTACCACAAGAGCTCAAGCCCCATAAAACACCAAAGGACCCAGTTAAGAGACAGCCTCACATGCTCCTCACTCCTGGGAGAGGCCCCAGTCAGATCTTGTTACTGACGAGCTACATATTTCAAGGAAACCGTGCTGCATCTCTCCTGCTCTTTTCTTGGTGTCTCAGATAATTCTTCAGATCTTTGTTCCTTGGGATTACTCGTTTCTTACAAGGTGCGGGTGGGGGTTTTCTGGACTTAACATTCATTAAGCCCATTCGCTTCTGTGTGCCCACCCACACATGTACATCAGGCAATATGATGTAACAACCCTTAACCACCCAGCTCAGACCTTTGCTTGGCTCCACACCTCCCTGTGTGTCAGATGGAAGCTCCTAATTATTCCTAATGATGGAGACCAGTGCCATTGTATGAAAGCAGGACTAAGGACATGATGTTTTCCAAGCTGTCCATGGAAGCAGCATGTCTCATTGTAAAACAACAGGAAAATCGTCAGTACAGTAAGATGGAAAAACATAAGGTGCTCCAGAAAGGAGCATCTTACCATAGGCAGCGCCCTACATGGAGAGCCTTCCAAGCCAGCTGTCAGGGAATAGTCAGAGCTGGAGTATTTATGTCTTAGATACTTCATTTTAGGTGTAAAGGACCTTCAGCACTCAAAGCCCTGAACCCTCTACTGAAATTAGATACGTAAAGCCTTCCTGAGTGAACTTTTCCCAGGTTTGGCTGGAACAAGAGCCCTGTCACTGCTCCTGTGCCCACAGAGCAGCTCACTACTCCGAGTATACGCTCAAATTACACGAGAGCTGGGTTCAGTTGCAGGCTGCTTCCAGGGATACTGATCCCAGGCAGCTCATCTCACGGGTGAACATAACCAAGGAGCCACTGCAGCCATTTCTTTCCTTCTCCCTACGCTGGTGAACATGCAATGAAGTTCAACAGCTGGATGAGCTCTGGCAGGGAAAATTGAAAATTACCCCTGTGGCACATTGTGGTTTGAGGTGAGGGAGGTGAATGATGTCACAAGAAAGAGTAGATTACAACCTGGCTTGCCCACTCCTTTCCTGAGTGCTTTCATGGTTGAGTTAGTACAGAAATTGGGAGCACAAACACCATGCTGGGCTGCGTCCTGTGCAGGATAGGACATATCCTATCTTCTCTGTTGCCTTGTGAGACCCTCTCCCCATCTGATTCCCTTGGCTGACAAAGGCAAGGAAATGTTCAGTCTGCAGATTGCTCTGTGCTTGGGCTGTCAGACTGCTGCTGTGGCAGTTCCCAGTCCAGGGGAGGGAGTGTGAAACTGTGAGACATGCACTGAATCAGCATTGCAAGTGCTTGGGAAATTTTGAGGTCAAAGCCACAAGTGCCAGCTGATGCGTGGCACAGTTAGCTGGTAGATGAGCACTAGGGGACTGAAGCACTACAATTGTGTAAAGTCTCCTGTGTATCTAATCCTCAGTCTCTTGCCCAAGGTCACATAAGAAGTCCATGGCAGAGAGGCAGTCGGAAAACAAATAAATCATGTGAGTCCTAAGCTCATGTTATCAACTGCTGAATCCAATCCTGAAAAACAAAAGTTTTAAGCCAGACTGTATTGCATCCATGGCACTCTTGATAGGTCTGGTTGCTACCACCAGTTTAGGTGTCATGGGGACTAAAACTGGTAGTAGACAACAGACCACAGAATCATAGAAACATAGAACTATTTGAGTCTGAAGGTATCTTAATCTGATTCCAACCTCCCTGCCACAGACAGGGACACCTTCCATTAGACCAGGTTTCCAAGCACCCCATTCAACCTGGCCTTGAATACTTCCAGGGATGGGACATGCTTCTGTCAGGTTTCTATAAATATGTCCCTAGTAACAGTTTGCCACCTATCGAGCACAAAATAGCTACCCTATTAAACAACAGTGTGATTACACTACCAAGAATACTCCTTTTGGCTGGAGTTCCAGCATCATTTTTTTCCTTTCTTTGCCAAATGTTATTTGATCACTCACCTGCAGAAAGTAACTGTTGCCTGACAGGTAACTAAAACCTTGTTAGTTTTTGAATCTTTCTTTCAGGCAGTCATGAGGCTTGCTGAGGAGGTCAGCAGACCTTGAACTTGACACTGGGCTTTTTTGGGTCTGAGTCCTCAGCAAGCACATTTTCTAATTCACATTAGCTATACTTCTCGGGATGCAACACATTTTCTCTCTGGATATGATAAATGAAGCTTAGGTGTTTCTTCTGCAATTCATACTTTCTTTCCAAATGTGTCTTTTAGTTAAGAGGGAATATTTGCAGGCCCCTGGTAGGAAACAGACACCTAACAATCCCAGGTTGCAGTTGTATGATTCCCTAGATTACAGCTACACTACAAGGAAAAATCCTACTAGTCTGCATTGTAATTTTTACCATGATTTATTTTACTGAGGATTCTTTCACCAAAGAATTAACAACATTCTTTTTCTAGCACAAAAGTGAATGGTTGCATTAACAAGCAGCTATAGACTGATTCCAAGCAGGCAACTAAGTGTCAGAAAAACAAAAAGGGATTTAATACTGCACCAATGGGGAGATTTTGAGATGGGGAGCTAGGACTCCCGTTTGCTGCACAGCTTGATAAGACTTCTTGACAGATTTCTCCTAGTGGGATAAAAAGTGGGACCGAGTCCAGAATACAGGTGGGATACTGGCTTGCACAGAATGACGAAGGATCAAAAAATTTCAAGCTATGTACCCAGGTTTGTGCTGCGATTTGAGAAAGCTCAGCTGAGCTGAGTTCATGTTACTGAGGTTCGCAAGGTTACTCGCTATTGCCTGGGTTTCTGACACACAATCCAGAAAGATTATTTCCCAGCAAACAACCAAGAAGAGCACAAAAGAGGTTTTTTTTTCTGGGCTTTGCAGAATTCAGGCAGTGGCTAATTCAAATCCAAGTAAACAAACACAAACTTTTGGGTGCTCAACCTCCCCTGCCTGAGACTATTTGACTGTCCTGTCCTGTGACTCCTCTCCATGGCTCTGACCAGAGCTGTGATATCGATCCCGACTGGGACATGCAGCAGCACTTACCTCCAGAACCATCTCTGTCATCTGGAACTGCTTTTGGGAGACCTTGTCAGAACTCACAGGCTCATGGAAGAGCAGGCAGAGCATGTCATACTTCTTCAGGGCCTGCTTGTAGTTCTTCTCGTTCAGGTCGATCACTCGGTCTTTCCCATCATAAGTGGGGAAGTTCAGTCCCTCTTCTGCCTTGCAGCAGAAAAGCAGGTAAAAACCTGCCAGGATCCAGCAAGTTGCCTTCATAGGGGTGCCCTTGGAGTACAGCAAAGGGTGGGTAAATGTCCCTCTCTTTCTTGATTTGGGAAGAGGGGGAGACCAAGGCTTCAGGTGAAGTTTGAACTGAGTTTCTCTTTCTGCTGCCTTCCTGGTGATCAGCCCAAACACTGCAAGGTTGGTGGGGAGCAGCAAACTTTGCTGTCCTGGACTCACAACAAAGAGAGAGACAGACAGGAGAAGCTGTGAGGCCAAGCCCTGGATACCTTACATAGCTGTGTCCAGCTCCCGTGTCATTAGGAACTCCATTTTTAGGAAGCAGTTGTTTCAGGCTAAAAATAAACCCTGCAATGAATAAAAAGGACAGATATGACACCATTGAGGGACTTGCTGGCACTCTGCATCATCTGAGAGAGAGGGAATGAGCAAGAGGGAGGGAGTGGAAGATGTCAGTCCTGGGAATATGCAGGCAGGGTTTGTGAAGGGGCAGACCTCACTTATACAGGGCACCAAGGCACACACTTGTCCTACTAGGGCTTGACAAAAATAGAAGGTATTTACTGCAATGTTTAATAAGGGTATCTCTCTTTGCATCCCTTTGGGCATGACAGTGATTAGGCTTTTGATAACAGATCTTGGGTTAAACAGTTTCAGAGCCTCATCTGCACCACTAGAGGAAAAGTCCCGGTTCCTCAGCAGCAAAGGAGGTGAGCACTCCTGAGACTCCCTCCTCCTCCTGCCTGGGGCACCCCATAGCTGCTGGCTGACATTCAAGCTGTTTTCTGAAGCACATTCTCTGCTTGCAGGGCAGCAGGAGAATTGCTGCCCCTTGGATCTGTAATCTCAAAGCAGAGGGAAGCTTGTGTTGCAACCTCCCATGCCCACAGCAGTCACCAAAGCCCCACACATTGCTGGCAAGTGGTTAAAACCTAATTGTACTAAAGGGGATGAAGGGTGGGAGGCGTGTGCCTAGGCACAACCAGGACAGGAGGCAGGGCTCTCCTCAAGAGGATGGTCAGATGCCACCATCACCATCAGCCTTCCTTTCTGTTGTACTGGAGTGGGTTTTTCACGCAATCCTGTTGCATTTCTGTTGCAAGCTGTTCTGCATATTCCTTCCTCTTCATGTCCCGGGAATGGCGATTGATTCCGCCTTCTCTAGGAGCTTGATACCAGTTGCTGCTTCGCTGTTCCACCTGCACAACGCTGCTGGGGAGAGCAGTTCCATGGCACAGTCTCTCAGCTCTTCCCCTCCTCTGACCAGGGTGTCACCTCTGCCCCATGACTGGCAGCGACAGGCAGGTGGAGGCAGGCCAGCTGGCCACAGGCCAGCACCGGGGCTGGCGTGGATCCGCTGGAGAAGGCATGCTGAGGGGCTGGCAGAGAAGAGCTTGACAGGGGGCACGGCTCCCTCCCCCTGCCAAAGTGATGTGCAGACAAGTGGCCTTATCGGGCCTCCTCCTCGCATGCTGCCCCATCACAGCCTTGCTCCATCCACACCGGGAAAGGGCTGACATCTCTTCTTGGTGCAGCTCTTCCCATTTAATTGTATGTCTGGGATTATTTCAATATTTGGGGCAAAAGGCAAGCATTACTTAGCTATTACAGAATCAAAGAATCAAATGGCTGAAAAAGACCAATAAGGTGATTGAGTCCAACCATTAACCCAACACTGCCAAGTCCGCCACTAACCCATGTCCCTAAGCATCACATCTACACATCTTTTAAATACCTTCAGGGATGGTGACTAAAACATTTCTCTGAGCAGATTATACTCATCTCCTGGGTGATTTAGGAGCACGCATACCCCTCAGCTTTCACTTTCAACCTGAATAGCCCACAACATACTAACTGAAACTCTGTGGGCAGCAGTTTTCAAATCTGTCTTGTCTCCAAAGCCTTCTCTTAGTTCTGCTCATGCTTTTTCAGAAGTTCAATGTTTGCTGGCAACTTAAACTACGAATGATGAAACCTGAGGAATCAGGGTAAAAGCCAAAGGCAGACAGCCTCCAAAATACACTTCCTACAGAGGCACCCTTCAAGGCAGTCGTTTTTAGAGGGAGATGTGACAAATCTTGATAAATCTGATTGCTTTTAGTGGGAGACACAAGACTTTTGTCACAGTGGGTGGCAATGGCTGGCTAGGGTTATGGTGAATGTTTAGGATGTAAAACACGGAACCAAATTTGTGGGATGACTACGCATACATTAGGCTGGTTGGTTGCCTTTGAAGGACCCCATGGATTCAGGGTGCAGGAGCAGGCTTCTGCTGGCATCACAATATGTTTTAAAGCAGGCACACATCAGAGAGGGCTGCAAAAATGAAACATTCACAGCTACTTCAAAAATTGGCTTATGAGGTTCCTGACCTCCTTTATTCTTGCAGAACTTGAGGAATTGCTCCACTTTCATATTGCTTAAGCTATTTTTGAGGCACTTTTTAATTTGCCTAAAAATAGATACAATCCAATTTTCATTTTCTCTCTTTTCTAGAGAAGAAAAATGCTTTCGACTCACAAAAATTGTTGCCTCATTAGCCCCAGATACATCTAGTTTATCTGCTTGTTGGGCTTCACCTCTGCACCACAGGGAATTCCTCCAGCAGACTGACACTGAGTGTCATGGCCACCATCTCTTTGTGTCTCCACTCAGGACTTTGGTGGTACTGCTAGGGCTAAATCTAGTGGACATTTTCTGTGGTCTTCTAGCTCTAACTGCATTTAATATGAAATTCAAGACATCTAGTTCACCAAGTCAGAAGTAAGGATGAGTTCCTCAAAATCTGAACAACTGCCTCAATGACCTGAAATTCTTAACTCCAGTAAACTTCAGCCAAAGTCGGTGTTGCTCCTTGCAGCCCTGCCTACATAGATCTGAAATCTTGGATTCACGTGTTTTGGGATGTTCAGAACAGCAGTTAAATACTTGAATCTGAACAGCACTACTTTGTTTTATTCCCTGGGGAACAGTAGAGCTAGGACTGAAGCAGATGCTCCCCCAACCTGACAAATGCCCTAAGCATTGTGTCTTTATCTTCATCATCTCTCTGTGTGCCAATAGCAGCACACTGAAATGTGCCCATCTCAGCCCCAGAAGTAAATCTCCTTGGAAGTTCAAAGCTTGTCCATCCACTCTCAGATAGTGTTTTAAATCTGGGATTTTTGGGCAGGCTCGCAGTCAAGAAAAGTCCAGCATGTAGATCTCATGCATTTGGGGAACCTGAGTTTTATTGAAGGCCCATTTCTACAGCACACTGATATAAGGTTTCTCTTTGTGTCAGATCTTCTCCCATGGGGTAGGAGCAACAGCAGTTCCCCATGGGAGGAAATGATGAGGGGAACAAAGAAATTTCACAGATTTCTCTGTGAAATCTTGGATTTTGCACTCACCAGTTCACTACAAATATTGTACTATCTTTCTGCATAGTTCTAGTGTCTTCCTGATCCCATTTAGCTGCCTGTGATTGCAACACACCTGTTTCTGTGGGCGGTGTCATCCAAGGGAAAGATATGGTCCTCCCTGTATCCCAGGACAGTCGCCTTTCAGCTCAGATAGCTCATTTCCTGATAGAGCTGGCATCTGTTAGTCTCTGATATAAGATGATTGCAAAGCTCAGCCTCCCAACTCTGACTACTTAACCACTGACTCCTTCATTCATTCTGTTACTGCATCACTTAGTCCTGCCTCAAGAAACCAGTATAATACTTTTCCCCATCTAACCATCCCTGAAAGCTTTCTGAGAAAGGAACTGGCAAAGCTCAGTGCCTGTTCACCTGGGGTGGTGCCTACGTTGTTCAAACAACCTTCAGAATTGGCCCTGAAATTTCAAGCAGAGAAAGAGATAATTAAGAGGAAAAGCTTGCTGTTAGGTTATCCACTATTCTAGGCTCTTTGGGCTCATTCATTGAGCAAAATCCTGGCTCTGGGGATTTAGGTCACAAAACCACCCCTGACATCCACTTAAGTAGGATTTTACTTTGTTTCTTCAAATTTTGTGAGGATAGGTAGCCAGCAACAGTGCTCAAAATCTCAGCCCTTCAAATCGGGCTTCCAAAAATGCTGAGTGGGGATGTAGGATAAATAAAAATTTTCTTCTTGTTGATTTTTTTTTCTGACTTGTATTATAAATTAAGGATATACACTTTCTGCTCCTCCCTCCTGGCTGCTGCAGTTGCACTCTCACCTTCACTGTCCTTTCTATCTTAAACAGTAAAAGATGTCCCCAGTCACCACTGATCCAAATGCTTTGGTGAGCCTTTTTTCCAGGGCTTCGGGATTTAAGGTTCTGCTTCAGCTAATCTCTTTTCAAGCTTCTAAGACCTTGTATGTTTTGCAAGATAGGAGTATTCGGAAAATACGCCTTTTTCCACCAGCTAGCCAAGCAAGGTCACAGCTAGTAGCAACTTGCAGCGTACTGCTGTCATTGGGCTGGGAGCCTCAGAAACACACTGAACCTCTCTAAAGAGACCAAGGGGATCACTATCATCCTGAGAAAAGCTCTCCAGTGTGAGAAACCCCAGTTCTTTCTCCCTTCCCTTCAGCCCTGAAAGGTGACAAGTCCTTCATGGTGCTTTACATTGCCTGTACTCCAACGCAGTCATGCCAGCGATGCCAAGCACAAGGCAGAGAAACTGTATCATTGGCACTCCTGCCCTTTTTTTCCTGTTACAAACTGCCAGAGACCTTTTCAGCACCTGAAAACACTTTGTGTATTTTGACTGAGGTGTTCTGAGACCTACTGTGTGATAAGAGGATGCTATAAACCTTTTCTGTTTTACAACACACACACACACAGAGATATTGGTTTTGATGAGGAAAATCAAACACAGCACAGACAAATGCACTTATATGAAATTATAAAAAAGTTATAAAGGGAAGGCCAACAAGATGACTCAGGAGTCCTGACTCACTCTCAGCTACACTGATGTTTCAAAAAAATACTGTCTTTTTTAGACATCATGTCCCCCAGTGCAAAGTAACTCTGTGCCACCTCATGGGCAACATTGCACCTCTGTCTTTGGGAGCTGGTCTGGCACCTGTGACTTATACAGGTCAAAAAGTATTTGAGAAGGTCAGAAACAGGACTCTCCCAGAAGGATTTGGATAGTTACCTCCTAAGGAGCTAATAATCCTTACAGTAAGAAAGGATTTAACTAAGATATCACTGTGGCCAAATGGAAACAGGCCCATCCCCATGTATGGAAATGGGTGGGAAAGAAATAAATAAATTGAAAATAAAAAGCATTAGGAGAAACTCTGGTAGGAGACAAGGCTGCTGCTTTATGCAGAGTTCTGACAAGGGACACCTGAGGGCAATCTGTTGTGATGGTTGAGGGACCCATCAAGTGGACTAGAAAAGGTGGGAGGTAGTTTGCAGCAGGACACAGAGGCAGAGACCTGCCTATCCCTCCCAGCTGGGCTGGGAGCTCACCCAGTCTGTGGGAGCAGGGTACTACTT